AGGTGGGACAGAAAGTGACTTCTATACTTTTAAAATTTGCCCAAAATTTAGGAGGTCTTTAGACCAAGCCAACTATAATAAAATAATTTTGCTCATTAAGAATTTCATCAGAAATATTTTGTGAACTATTTTTTAATGCCATATTCCTACTCTTTTTCTGTGAACTAACATTTATAACCATTTAACCAAATAGCTTGGTATAAGTTGCAAAAAACCACCTTCACATCTTTTCAATATTTGTTAAATCATTATAAGGAATCCATTCAAGATAATATTATTAGAATATATAGTTGCTTTAAGTTGTATTTTTAATCAACTCATTTAATGCTTCATTGCCATTAGTTGTTAATCACATAATTGCGCCATGAATATGAAGTAATTAATAAGTCAAACCTTCTCACAGTGGACTATAATAATAATTAATATTAAATTCTTGTCATAATGGATTTTTAAAATTTTACATGTCCCAATTCATCTGGCTGTGACAAGGTTTGACTGTATCAAGAAATTCGTTATATGGTGAATAATTCTATTATTAAACCTCAATCCATTAGTATCCACTAAATTGAGATACACATACACTACATTGAGATTCACTGTGTAAGATAAATTTAATATAAAATTTAGGAATTGAATCAAATCACTCTAAAATTCAATTCAATTAGATTTGTTTGGAGCCTTAGCTAAAGGTTCGGGTCACCAGAAAAGTACAGGTATGGGGATTGACAAATTTCACCTGTACCCTGTACCTTTCAAGATTCACCCACTAAATCTTGAAAAGTACAGGTGAGCGGTACAGGTGATATGCAAAAAATGTGAAAAAGTACAGGGAAAATCTTGGTACAGGTGGCACAGACATGATACAGGTGATCCTTAATTAAATTTTGAAAAGTACAGGATGGAAAATAAATTTCTCCAAGAAATGCTTGGGAATAATTCAATGCAAAGAATGCAGTGCCCCAAGTTAGACTAAAAATGAAAGACCACAAAAAAAAAAATAGAAGAGCAGATTGCAATGGTATTAATTTCTCTTTTATTCCTATTTAGGCCATACAGGTTGTGGTGGAGTAAAAGGTTGTTTTGAATCAAACCTTGAACCTAATCTAATGAAATGGTTGAAGGGAATGTTTGGACAAGTAGCAAAACCCATTGATTTTGGTAATAATCCTGCAGTTCAAGACCAATTTGTCAAAAATAATGTCGTGAATCAAATGGGAAACGTTAGTAAAATCGATTTTGTTAAATCTGCTAAACAAACAATACAGATTCATGGATTTGTTTTTGATTTAAAAAATGGCCCATTATTAAAGGTTACAGCATAATAATTTTTTTTTTCTTAACATGTGATTTTCCTTTTAATAAATAAAGTTCGCATCATAAATCATTTTACAATGAAACATTGCCAAATCCTATCATATACAAAATACTACATATGACTAATTGTTGTTAACACTCGGTAGTTAACTCTAACCTTTGTTTACCAATTAAAGCAAATAAAACATGGCTTTTTACTAAGTCTTTTCTTTAAATGAAAACCGTAAAATCATTATCTTTTTAAAATAAATCCTTAAAATCGTAAATAAACTTTCAAAAATAAAGCATAGTTTTTATTTTATTTTTATTTTATTCGAATGTTAATGTTTTCAAATGAGGACCTGAAGTTGTTTTCCATTATTTATTATTTATAATACAGCACAGGCAGATGAGATAAATAATAAATAAAAATAATAACAAAGTTTTATTAGCATTTTTTATCATATCACATCATCATTATTGTTAACTGGAAAATGTAACTTCAAATAGTTGTCCAAGTGTAGACATATGCAATCCTATAATGTGCTCCATTATCAAATAATACTTCAATCCACAATGTGAATTTTTTTTATCGTAGAAAAATAAGGATCGAAGGAAGAAGCTGCAAACCATGCATTTGCATTTTGTAAACCCTCATTTCCAAGAAAAAATATGATTTCACTCACTCCACAAGCTGAATGAGGAGAAATTTTCATTCCACAGCCAGCTATTATGACAATTTCATCCTTATCTATATATGAAGTAAAACTGCATTGACTTGTGCATTCAAATAAGTCTTCCTGGTTTGATGCTGTAATTTCAATTGTTTGGTTTATTTCATTTAGAATAATTTCCAGAACCTATTGGAAGCAGAGTCAACTTGGATACATTTTTCACAACTAATTGGATATTATTCTTTCAACTTCCAAGTGCAAATTTTAAACAATGTTCAATGAAACTGTCATAACGCAAATTTAATCATAATCCAATGTGACAAAGTTTGACTATATTAATATGTGAAATCAATTTCTCTCATTTTCACACAAAAAATACTCATAGATCGATATACATCATAATATGTCTCGCAAACATAAGTCCAAGAATAGCCCAAGGTAAATTTACTGCAATATTTACAATATTAATATCAAAACCGTGATAAATACGAAAACCATAAATAGTAACACACAAGAGAAAAAGGAAGTATTTGATTATGCGATTATCTAGAAGTAAATAATCTCAATTTATTGAGCATGTAATTCGGAAACAAATGAACTTCACTTGTGCATTTCTATTGCAACGCAAAAGGATTTTTTCACTCATTAGATAACTCAGAAATGTTAATGTCTCGAATATGGCATGAAGATTTCTTACAAAAGTGAAAGAATCAAATTTGACATAGGTCAAACATGCAACAAATATTTGTAAAATATCCTGTTTAGTTAAATAAAGGACAACCAAGTTTTGATAAAATGGTGCATATAAGATATCGGGATGTAATAACATAGCAAATTTATTACTTTTCAAAATGACGACTTTCTAACATTTATTGATATATATATATATATATGACCAAATTTCAATAAAATGGTGACATTCATTAGCATGAAAATATCCAGCTCATAGATGAACAGACTTATTTCATATAATAAGCATGAACCTCATTATTAAAAAACTTTTAGTGAATATATTTTTATATTGAAAGGGTCCTCTAAGTAATGCCACGACTATTCAAAACGGTATTATTGTAGATAGAATAGATTATATATTATTATTGTTAAATTTATTTTTAATTTTAAAGGAATTTTTTGTGTCCCTTTTTATAAAAACTTTTATCCGATGATGATGATAATAATCAATTCACCACGCTTAATTATCAGAATTGACTTTCGTGAAACTTAAGGTCCAAAATTATAAAATATAACCTTAAAATAATTCCATTAATTTCCAAAAAATTATTGGCTTATGATTATATTGCAAAGGTATACGTTCATTTATAGAAATTCATTAAAATACTTAAAAATAGCAATTTGGTCATTTTTTTGTGCAAGAATTACACGATGTAAAACTATAAATGCATAACAATATTAACTTTTTTGCAAGGTGTAACACGCGAAAATACACTAGAGGAAATTTAATCAATCTTAAAATAGCCTGGGATTATAATATAAAAGGGTCGACAGAAACCTTCCCATAACCATTGATATTCGTGCACAAACACTTGTATTAGAAGATACAATAAGTTTTGCAGATTAAACTTATATTGATTCATAAAACATGAATAAATTTGTTGAACTTATTTCAGATCCTATTACGTTTGGAGCTCAAGATCAACGAGTCTTTAACCATGTTGACTTGCCCGTGGTAACAAATCAGGTGTCAGTGACATTCCGATTGAAACTTTTGAGTCATAATCCTAACTGGACTACTATTTTTCACAAAGGTATGCTTTTTGCATCGTCAGCAAAATTATTGGTTAAAATTGATTTTTTTTTTTATAATTTTATCCAATTGGTGATTTCTCGACTTCAAATAAAATATACATACATTTAGGTACTGACGATAAAAACTTGACGCCTGGGATCTGGATGCATGGAGAGAGAATGGATGCTGGCTTTGCAACCAGCTTGGTTAATTATATAAAAGTCACCCTTCTTCCCTCACTTTCATTAAACAAATGGTACCATATAGCTTATGTATTTTCTGGTTCTGGAAATAAATTAGATCTTTACATAGACGGTAAAATAGACGGGATCTGTTACATCCCGGAGACTGTTTCATTCCATGATGGACCGCTATATATTGGAAAAGCTTACTCCTATGATGCGGTTAATGGAATGATCAGGTACGATTTATCACATTAATGAAGTTGTTCCAAATCACAAAAATATTAAATGATCATTCTATCAAATAGTAATTTTCGTTATTTCAACTGGTGCTTATCTGATAAAGAAGTGAAGGATGATTTTAAAGGCGATAAAATTAAAGAATTACTTGAAAATAACCAACAATGGTCAAGTGAAAATCAGAATAATAAAGAATTTTTTGATAAACTTAAAAAACAAGAACCAAAAGTTCTTTGGTTTGGTAATGTTTAAATTGATTTTTATCATTATAGTCGTATAAAAATAGTATCTGGTAAAGATAATTTATTCATTCATTCGTTCATTATACAGGATGTTCTGATTCTCGTGTTCCGCCCGAACTCATCACTAAATCAGGATTTGGCGAATTATTTGTGCATCGTAACATAGCAAATCAATTCAACCCCAATGATGCCAATTGCATGTCAGTGTTACAATATGCTGTCAATCATCTGAAAGTTTCTCATATTGTTATTTGTGGTAAATAATAAATGAATTTTTAATTTAAAACATTCAATTCTTTTTAATGAAAATGATAAATAAATAACATCTTTTCTATCCCTCTTTAGGCCATACAGGTTGTGGTGGAGCAAAAAGCTGTTTTGAGCCAGGCCTTGAACCCGATCTAGAAAAATGGCTAGAAGGAATACGTGAATTGGCAACGATAAACCCCGAATTCTCTCATACCAATCCAAATTTTGGAACTCCTGAAGTTCAAGACAAATTGGTCAAAGCTAATGTTGTGAAACAAGTGGAAAAAATTAGTAAAAATTATTTTGTTAAATCTGCTGAACAAACAATACAAATTCATGGATTGGTTTTTGATTTAAAAGATGGTTTGTTATTAAAAGTTATATAAACATTGATTCAAAATAAATATACATATTATAATAATTGATTTTTGTTATTTTGAGATTTGATTTTTCTTTTAATAAAGTTCACAATCATTTTACAATGGAACATTGACAAATCCTATCATATATAAAATGACTATAACCAACATCAATTCCAACTTTTGCTTACTAACTAAAGCAAATAAAACATAGCTTTTACTAAAACGCTTCATTTTAAACGAAAAATAAAATAAATAAAACAGTGGTTTTATTTTTAAAGGTTTACGATTTTAAGGATTTATAATGATTTTAAAGTTTTTATTTTATCTGAATGTTAATGTTTTCAAACGAAGACCCGAAGTTGTTCTGTCATTTGTTATTTATAATAGATAAAAATGGTAGTAAAGTTTCATTAACATCATAAATTTATAAATTATAAATTTTATTTTCATAACGCCAATTCTGGTGAATTTTACCATCATAGGCATATTTTAGTAATATATATAATGTTCCAAAAACCTTTGGTCAAATATCATCTTCATTTTATTTTTTGCTATTAGTGTTCGTTTCCAAACTATAGAATTTCACAACTGTGCGAAAGTCAAAATATTTCGCCATAAGTCGAAACTGGTTTGACTTTTGACTTATGTTTTAGTTTTGATAACGGACACTGTTGCTTATAGTAAGAAAAATATAAAGTACAAAATCAGTTTTTTCTCTAAACTGCCACCATATTTTGCTATTGTGTCAGATATATCAACAGGCGTTATATCTATTTACTATATATCTGTTTAATCATAAATAAATTTATGATAATTTAATTTTTTTCCCGAGAGAGAAAAAACGCGCAAATAAAAAAAAAATACTTCAAATTGTACAAGAATATTGTGAAAAAAAGCAATTTTGAGTTAATATTGCTGTTATATGTAACTCCTCATATAGAACATTTTTGGCTTAGAAACTATTCCCGCTTTACCTGATAAATTTTGAGATACCTTTCCATTAAAGTTTTAAAAACAATAGTGAATTACTTGAAATACAGACCTTTTTTTAATTTTCTCAAAACAATATGGTCCGTTTCTATTAAAAAGGCCATATAATTTATAGAAATCACTTTTATAGGGCTTAACATCATCTATTAAGGAAAAAAATTTTTTTTTTTTGTTATATAAAGATCAATTTACTTAAAGATGAGTGTCTCGAACACAGGAGAAGTAGTAAAGAAAATGATAGGCGTAGAAATTGTTGAGAGTGAGAGGCTTATTAAATGATGACAAACATCATAATATTAAAAAAAGAATTTAACAAAAAATATCTGCCATTCGAGACAACAGTGTATTGAACATAAGTTCCCACAATTTTTTATTTATTGTGGTCGATAGGGAGATCGACATATATAAATTTAAAAAAATGTATCAATGTAAAGGAGGAAGTCGCATGAACTTGGTTTTTTCAAGATGTAAAAATTCTCTCTTTTCTTATATTAAAAATAAATAATTTACTCTTGGGCAGCTGTGGATTCCACGTAAGATACATATATGAATTTCATGAAAAAAAATAATAGAATTGTAACATTACAAAAAAAAACTTATTACGAATTATTCATTGTTATCTATATGAAAAAACTCTTGTAAAATGATAATTATTTTTTAGAAAATTTTGTTCCGCCTCCATCCTTTTTCAAAAATGCTATTTGTAATTGTCTATAGAAATTATTTATTAACAAATCAATTCTTTGAAAATAAATTTTTTTATTAGATAAGCTAATAAATCAAAAGCCAATATAATATAATGGTTCCATATCAGGAAAAATACAATGGTTGATATATCCGATGGCTGACAGAAGATCAATATGGTAGATCTTTACTTAACGTGAGTGAATGGAAAAAAATTTCTCCAGCGCAAATTCAAAAATTATCAAAAGAAGAAGCAACTAAACCTCATACACAACCTTATATGCGGTATATACTTTTACTATTTAGGAAAAATCGGTTTTCTATTCCAATACAAATCAAAAGTCTATAATACCACCAAGTAATAATAATTGAAATGGTCAAAAAATAATTTATTATTATTATATTTCCAAAAATCCGCTTTTAATTTAATACCAATATTAAAAGAATTTTTAATTTGAAATATATACAGCGTAACAAAAAAACCGGAAATTTTTTTTGAGCAATTTAGAAAAAAAGATGTTTTTTGTTCTTTCTAGCAGCCAATTGCCACTACATTCTATATAGGTATCATTCCTGAACTTATCACAAAGATCGAGGTGCTGATTTGATTTGAATCGGATTTTTGAAAATCAATTATTTTAAGCTCAAAATTTATTCATGAAGACTTCAATTTAAAAATGTGCTATTAGTTATGTGATGATTATTCAACAATGTTCATATATTGAAACACCAAAATTTTTGGTGAGTTTGTTAAGCAAGACATAGAGTAATGAATGCTAAAAACTCCAAAGAATTGGAACGACTTTGGTAAATTAGTGAGAAATGAATTTGCTGGTTTTTATAATTGAATGTTGAAATGGAATAAAATTAACTTCATTGCCTAATATTAAAATCAATTAAAAATAAGTTTCACATAAAATTTACATTAATAAAAACTTCTGATTTTTAGCTTTCTTTTTGATATATTTTTATCTATTGTTCATTCAACCATTATTGTTATTGAGAACAAAACAAATAAAGATTTCCGGGTTTTTTTGTTACACACTGTATATATTGAATAATTGAATTCTTAAGGTAGAGAATCTACATAGTACGAAATTGAATATGAAAATTGTCATTAAAAATTCTCGTGATATATTTAAATAAAACTTTTATTATTTGTTTATAAAATTATATAGAATATATCACTGAGAACTATAATTTCAACTTTATGTAAAAAAATTAAAAAGTTAATATTAAAAATAAAGACTTGTATTATCAACCAATTTAAAATTCTTAGCGAATGTCTAATTAAGTTGGCGAATGTATAAGTTAAACATGCGGAATGACTGTTAAAGTTGCAAAAGTTTGTTTTAAACCACATAACTTCCATAAACACATAAATATCTGTGTTAAATGCAATAATATTTATTACTTAAAGTCACAAGTGCCTAATGTTAACTTATTAAT